GGCTTGTATGCACCTGGGTGAGGCAGGAAGGCCCCCTTGCCGCCAAGCAATCTCGGGCCGCGGCGCCGGGCCGTCGACGCGCAGTCGCGGCTGGCGCAGAGGAGGCGCGACGGACCGCCGCCCCTGCGCCGGGGCCACGCCTGCCGCCGTCGCACCTGGCAGGCCGCGTCGCACCAATCCAGCGCGACTCTGTAGGGCGAAGTGATCACCAGAGGCCGCGCTAGCCGCGCTGGGCCCCAGCCGGCCGGCAGGGTCATCGGCCGCGTCAGCTGCACTATGCCGGCGCTGCCATTGCTGACGGCGGCGAGGAATTCTGCTGGTGTGGACACCATCGCGGTCGACGCCCCTGCTGGCTGCGCAGCAGCGGTCGGGGCGAGCAGCAGCGACGCATAAAGGGCGGCGCACCACGCCGCCAGCCAAGCGTGCGTGAGGGCCGCAGGGCACCTTGTTCGAGGAGCCCTGCAGCCATGGCGCCTGGTGTCGGCCCCAGGCACCATGCAGAGTGCCCGAGTGCCGCTTCTTGGCGGGTCCACGGGGAGCCCGTTCAGCTCCAGTGCATGTTGTAAGAGAGGTTCAGTGTACACGAATAAATAAACTTGATACGCGCTTGCAGAACACCTGCTGTAAAGCCTGAGCTGAGGCTGGAGGGTATGATAATCGCCGTGCCAGGGCACTTTCACCCGGTGAAACAAGTTAGGTTATCAGCATCATCCCATGCCCTGGCGGTTTTGACGTACGATGCCTGGTGTGGCCGGTTTTTTCGCACCGGCGATCCGAGGTGGCCACTGACGATTTGACTTGATGACTCTGATGTGATGTTGGCAAGCGGAGCGTCTACATGGAACGTGGGCCGCGCCCTGCACAAGCAGCGCACCCCCTAACGGTGTCCTACGGTGACTGCGGACGTCATCAAAACAAGTGACGTGCGGCATCGGCAGCACAAGGACCTTGGAGGGGGCTGCCGACAGTCGTATGGCTTCAAGTAGACTTGACCGCAATTAACCAGCTGACGCAAGATATCCCCCGTTGTCTCGCAAACTGTCGAGTGCAGTGGCCGGACGCCCGCTGCCAGCACCGCATGCAACCGCCACAGGCGCAGCCTGTTGCAGAGTGCCGTCCCGCGACCCGAGAGTGGCTGCCATTCATCAGAGTCCCGGTGGAACGGGTCGGGGCAGGGATACACGACTCGCTGTGTGCACTCCGCTGCTTGCCGCGCACTTGCTGCTGCCTATCTACGGTCAGACAGTCGCAGCCGACTGCGATCAGGTAGTTAAAAGTGTCCTTTGAATACACACACACAGGGCCGCCGCTCACGCACCCTCTCCTCTTCACAGGCAAACAAGCAAGCCTGCGCCAACCTGCATGCCCCTCCCATTGACGCGCAGCCGGCAGCGCAACCGCGACGGGTTACACGAACCAGGTGACGCGCCGCCAGCAACGGGCGGCTGCACTCCCGCCCGCCTCGCCGCTTCAGCTGTGTCCATGCCAGCTGATGGGCGGCGTCACCCAAGTGACGCCCGGGCGGACCCGTGAGTCACGCGTAGCCGACCTTGTCGCTGTCGTCACTCTGAATCAGCTCCTCCTCGTCCGGCCCCAGCATGCCGCCGTGCACCTCGCGCGTGTGGCCGTCCGCGGCGGTCTCGTAGCGGTGCGCCGCTGGCGGCGGGTGGCGCCGCCGCGCGCCGGCTGCCTTGACGGCGGTGCCGTCGTCGCCTTTGTAGCCGACCTGCGGGCAGCGGGGTGCGGCGTTGCCGGCCAGCCGGCAGGCGCGGGGCACCGAGTTTAGCCCTTTAGGTATGAAGGAGACATGATACACGCAGCTTCCCGGTGAGATCTTGAGCAAGCTGGGGCGCCATCCTCTGCAATTGCAGACCATCCAGCTTCCGCACCCCTCGCACATGCCGCCCCGCTCGCAGCCACGCAGCCACAAGCATGCCAATACACAGCCCCTGCAGGCACAGCCATCCTCCCACTCAGATTACCTTGTCTGAGTCATCCGACTCCAAGACTTCCTCCTCTGTCGGCCCAGTCAGGTCACCAAAGTGCGGCCGCCGCGCCTCGCTGCCCAGCCCGGGCCGCGAGCGCCGCTTCTCGCCCCGCGCCGGCTCCTTGCCGCCGCCGCCGTCGCCGCCGCCGCCGCCAGGGGCCCGCCGCTTCTTGCCGCCGCGCTGCTGCTGCTCTGCCGCCGCCGCCGCCGCCGCCGTCGCCGCCGAGCCCTTGCCCCTCTTGCCCTTGGGTGCCTCCTCCTCCTCGTCCTCTTCCTCCTCGCCCTCCCCCTCGCCGCTGCTGTCCTCCTCGTCCTCCGACCCGCTGTCCTCCTCCTCCCCCTCCTCCTCCCCCTCATCTTCCCCCTCCTCCTCCTCGCCGTCCCCCGCCGCCTCCGCCATCACCATGAGCGCCGCCCGTTTGACCGCGGTCAGCACCGCCTTCTCGCCTTCCACCACGCGCGCCGCCGACCACGCGTGCGACCCGGGCGCGGCGCCGGCGGCTGCCGCGGCGGCGGCCGCGGGGTACCGCTTCTGGGCGAGTCCGCACGCCTGCTCGGGTGAGGGGCAAAGCAGCAGAGTGATCGCCGTGGGCGGCGCGCGGCCTTCTGACGGCAAGACAGCAAGCTTTCGTTTTGTGCATGCAGGGGTGGCTGTATCGCTACCTGTAGCTCTGGCCGGGCTGGTGCTGCTCAGAGCAGTGGTCCAGTCAGCAGGGCAGGGTCCCATGTCCAAGGGAGACCCCTGGAATCTGAACAGGCACGCCACCCCACCTGCAGGACCGTCGACCCGACCATCTCCCCGAAATCCCCCTGCAGCAGGTCCCGACCCAGCGACAGCCGCTGCCGCGGCCGCCGCGGCGCCGGCTCGTCGGAGCCGCCGCCGTTGGCTTGCCCCTCGCCGCCGCCTCCGCCGCCGCCGCCTGTGCCGGCGTCGGTGGCGGCGGCTGCCTCGTTCTGCTCAGACCCCAGCTGCTCAAACTCCTCTGACGTCATCAGCAGGACCTGGGGCCGGACCAGGGGGGTTGCAAGCCGATCCAAACATCAAACACGAACAAATGTTGGCCGGTCCGAGGTCGCAGCACGACTTCCAGATTTGATGGCTGGTGATGTGTCAAGCGAATGCAGCCACTCCACCACAGAACTGTGACCACGGTTGGCAATAGCAGGCCCGCATGTAAAGCCTCCGCGCCAGCCAACACGCAGGCACATAAACAAGCCGCCTCCGACGCGCCCGTCGCCGACAGCCCCATACTGCAGCGGCCACGCCGCCCGGCGTCGTCGCGAGCGCCGCGCGCAGCCCCGCCCTCCCGGCCCCCCGCGCCGCACCTGCACGGTGGTCAGCAGCTCATCGCTCAGAGGCTCCGCCGCCGTGGCCACGAACTCGGTCTCCCCAGGCGCAGCTGCCTGCAACAGCCCCGCGGCGCCCAGCAGCGACTCTTTCTTACGCAGCAGCGCCCCGCCGACGACGGCGGCGGCCTCCGCGCCGCCGAGCGTGCGGCGGGCGCCGTCCAGCAGGAGCCGGTAGGGCAGCAGCGCGTAGTTGTGTGGGTTGGCAGAGCAGCCGCCGGGCAGCTGCTCGAGGAAGCCATAGGTTTGCAGCAGCTGCGCGTCTGACAGGTCGCCGTATGTGTGCAGGACCTCCTCCCCCTTTGCTATGGCGCGCTCTGGCCGCGGGGTGGAGCGGGGGGAAGCCAGGGGGCAGGGGGGACGTGGCATGTCGCGGTGCGAAAGGCCGGGGCTGGTAGCGAGGGGCCCTCGGCGCTCGGGGTGTGGAGCAGGGCTGGCTGCTGCTGGAGGAGGGCAGGCGGTGCCGGCAGCTCTGCGTGGCGGCGTCCCTGCAGCACACGCCCTCAAACGCGTACACAAGGTGTCGCATATGCGCGCTCACGACCATGGCGCCCCTCGGGGGAGCCCTACGGATCTAAGCACATGGCATCACGCCCCACCTCATCCATGCCACCCCATCCCACCCCGTCCCACCC